TTCAGGCTGAGCTCTGGCCCCTGGAGAGGGGTATTGGTATCATGCCATGTGTGGGCCCCGCCCCCTCCAGGGCACACATGTGGGACACACTGCCTGTACCTCTCCTGTTACTCTTAGACTGGACCTGGCCCGACGCCTTGTTCACCACCAACCTGGTGGAGATGGACCCCATGAAGCCCGTCTCTCCCGCCCGGCAGCAGCTGCCTGCCCTCACTGTGGACAGAGGCAGGGATCCCTGGAGCATCTGGGCCCCGCCTCGCCCCCTTAGCCCGGAGGAGCTGGAGAAGGAGCGCAGCCACCGCACCATCGTCTCCTGGTTCGCCGATCACCCGCGGGCACCCTTCGGCATCCACCGGCTGGTGGAGCTGGGGAGGAGCTCGGGGAAGAAAGCCGGGGACTGGTACGGCCCCTCCATTGCTGCCCACATTGTCAGGTGAGCAGACGACAGCCCCCAGCACCACGCTGCTCCACCAGGATGGCCCTGGCGTGACATGGGAGCTCTCCTGAAGCACACACCTGCGGCCTGCGATCTCCACCCCTGCGGCAGCTGGCGTTTTCTGGGCTGCAGGGGTCCGATCCCAGTCGCAGAGCTGGGCTGCGGTGAGGCCGGGCCACAGGAGACTCATTCTCTTCCCCTCCATCTCCTGCAGGAAAGCGGTCGAAGGCTGTTCGGAAGCCAGCAGCCTGGCTGTCTACGTATCTCAGGACTGTACAGGTGAGTGGCCCCGGGCTGGTGGTGTGGTGTGGGTAGCCTGTGGCTGAAAGCTGAAGGGCTCCATAGACACCGGGGCTAGGGGGTGCTGTGACTCTCAGGTATCACACCTAGAGGCTGGGGGTCTCTCCCTGTCCCGGGCTAGGATCTGACCCCCCCTCTGCAGAAGAAGCCAGACCCTACTGGTGTCTAGGGTGCGCCAGGCTGCCAGTGACTAACCCCCGCTCCCCTCTGTCTGGTGACCCCCTCAGTGTACAAGGGGGACGTGGCGAGGCTGGTGTCTGGGAGCGACGGCCGGACCATGCCAGATCCCGGCGCCAGGCGGAAAGCTGTCATCATCCTGGTGCCCATGCGTCTGGGCGGAGAGACCCTCAATCCTGTCTATGTAGACTGTGTGAAGGTAGGGCGGGGGCAGGGCCTGAACAACTGGGGGACCCTGATTGGTGGGGGAAGGAATGGGAGGCAGGACTTGTCCAGCAGTGCCCAGCTGTCCCGGGTTCTTGTCCAGCCCCCCTCACATTAGTATCTGCCTGTCCCAATCTCTAAAGTATTTCTCCTCGCTGCTCTCCGAAAGGCAGGGCAATGCTATTATCCCCACGACACAGATGGGGAAACTGAGGCTAAGGGAGGTTCCCAAGGTGCCCCAGGGAGTCTGTCACAGCTGGGAATTGAACCTGGGTCTCCCAGCTTAGCACCATGCCCATCCTTCCTCTCAGTCCCCGTCTCGCCAGGTGCTCTGGCAAGGCACATCAAGCTGCCTCGAGTCACGGCCCAGTATAGGAACCTCCTGAGGCCCCCATCGCCCTGGAAGTCCTCTTGGTGCCGCCCCCTGTTTAGCTGCCTGGATCCCTGCTGTGTGCCGGGGCAGGCCGTGCCCGTCCCGGGGCCCGTGCTGGGGGCAGGGCTGTGGCCGTGGGTGGGGCACGGCTGAGCTCCCCACCCCGTGTCTCCGTCTCCCTCCAGGAGCTTTTGAAGCTGGAGCTCTGCATCGGGATCATTGGTGGGAAGCCCAAGCACTCGCTCTACTTCGTGGGCTACCAAGGTACGTGCCCGGCGCCCGTCCCCGGCGTGTTCGGGGCAGCAGAGCGGGGAGCGGCCAGGCGGAAAACAGGCTCTTCCCGTGGGAAAACTCCGGCCCCTTGGCAAAAAATGGAAACACAACAGTTTCGGATTTGGAAACGCTGCTGCGGTGCCTCCTGGGAGCTGTAGTTTGGGTCTCCTCCCTGGTGGGACTACAGTTCCCATGATGCATCACAGTCACCCCGTGGCTTGGGGAGGTGGCTGTCTCATGGGAGTCCCTGGCCACAGTACATGGGAGATGTAGTCTGGCTGGGGAGCCTGGCCCATAGGAGAAGGGGGAACAGGAGGGAACCAAACCACAGTTCCCATGTGGCACCGTAGCACGGTCTGAGTCGCAATGCTGTCGGTGGGGTGCTGGGGCCGGCGTGATCCCGGCTGCCTGAGGGAGGGGCTGCTGAGCTCCTGCTGATGTGTCCCCCCCTGCCCCCCACTCTGCCTTCCAGACGACTTCCTGCTGTACCTGGACCCCCACTACTGCCAGCCCTTCGTGGACACCACCAAGGAGAACTTCCCCCTGGAGGTCGGTACGAGTCGAGGGGGGGGGCAGCTCCTGCCGGGGGCTGGCCCCGTAGAGTAACCCGCGTACACGCTCTCTCTTCCAGTCGTTCCACTGCAGCTCACCCCGCAAAATGGCCTTCAGCAAAATGGATCCCAGCTGCACCATTGGCTTCTACGCCCGCGACGGGCAAGAGTTGGACACGCTGTGCTTGGAGCTGACCAGGGTAAGGGCCGCAGCGGGCAATGCCTTGGTGCCAGCTGAAGTGGGGACTGGCCGGGGGGGTGCGCTCTGCTGGGGCCCCAGAACGCCCCGGACGTAACCCTCCCGCAGCCCCTGGGCTGGCGCCTGCGCCGTGCGTGTGGGCACCTGCCTGGGAAAAGCGCCGGGTGGACTCAAGCCCGCCTCGATATCCGGATCCTCCCTGGTCAGATCAGTGCAGGACGGCTCCGTGCTCCTCCCCCAACGCGTGCCCATGCGGGTGAACCCACCGTGCCAAGCCAAGGGGCTGATGCCTCCACTGGCCTGGCCCCAGGCCTTTTCCCTGCCCCCGGCAGCACAGGGGCTTCCTGAGGTGCTGGCTGGGAGCAGGGGGCGCCGCGTGGATTTTGCAAGCAGATAATATGTATATGGCGAGGGGGGGGGTGTCTCTGCCTCCCTTTCGTGGCCCTCTGACCCCAGCCCTCTGCCCCCCAGGTGCTGAACTCCTCGTCGGCCAAGGAGAAGTACCCCATGTTCACGGTGACGGAGGGCCAGGCGCAGGAGTACGGGCTGGCCGAGCTGTGCTCCCGTTTCTCCCAGCAGACCGTGCAGCTCCCCAAGCGCAGCAAGGCCAAGAAGGCCAGCTCGGACGAGTTCGTCTTCCTGTGAGCGGGGGGAGGCCGCTCCCCCCTTATTTATTACTTATTTATAGAGACACGGCGGGGGCCACTGGCTGCCCCGCCCACCACGTCACAACACTGGCGGTGCAGCAGGGGGCGCTGGGCCGTGGCTCGAGGGCGCCCCCCTGTGGGGACAGGCAGCCGGCGAAGAACTGGAGATCCCCTGCTGCACACTGTACTTCCCGGGCTGCAGTTCACACTGGAATAAATCCCTGGCCCGCGGGGAGAGCGGTGCCCTCACCTAGGCCGGGCCTGTTACTGTGCTAGGATCTAGC